TGCAATAAATTGTTTCAGATATAAAAATTACATACTTACACACACACATATACTTCATTTACGAACTAGAAAGTAAGAAAAGGAATATAAGTACATACATACATACATACCTACTATACTATGTAAGTACATATGTATATGTTTGTATGTATGTATGCTTGCATACAATAGTATGTATTTGAAATTAAATATTTGTAATGTACTTTAAAAAATAAATACTTCAAGCATTTGGTGAATTGAAAAAGGAGTTAAGTATTAATTAATAGGAAAACTAAAACTACAAAAGCAACTGACAATCTACACACTATTAGTACACACGTATGTACATACTACATAACTAGTACATCGGGCTCTAAATAAGTGCACATTAATAAGTATGTACCTACTAACTACATAATATATGCACATAGTATGCACGTACATACATATATGTATGTATGTTTAGTAGATATAATCTTGATTACAGTTCGTACGTGTCACTCATTTACATAGTATGTATGTATTATAAAGATCTAAAAATCGCAATTATAAAAAGTATTTTTCCACACGTATTATTCGCTATTAAAAATGCTTATTAAAAATTTTATTATATAGTACGAACAAATAGACATTAAAAAAGTCGAATATATTTACTCTTAAAAAAGCAATGATGCATGAATCTTACAATTAAGAATTTTTTCGATGCAATTAAAAAATAATAATAATAATGTAATATATTAGAAATTAAGCTCAAACCATTACGAAACACTTGTAAAGATTGTTTGAGAAGTGTGATCTAACGCCAGCGAATTTTGAATTCCATTTTTACATACATACATACATATGTACATATGTATGTATATATAAATCGAGTAATATAGCAAACAAAATGCAAACCTAAAGACTTATTCAGGCTATATAATGAAGAGAGCTGCAAATGGTAAAAATATTGGGAACATATTTTGAATGCATATACGGGTATATGTACATATAAGTGTGTGCATACATATGTAAGCTCTTCATTAAAAAAAAAAAAAAAAGGGCAGCGTTAATGAAGCAATTACTTTAAAATGACACTTTATCCATCAACTTGCAATGAAGTTCTACTACATGAATATTACATACATATGTATGTATGTATATAGTATATAGTATGTATACTTTGCGTACAGCAGACGACATGGCAGGCATGGCAGGCATGAAAGGCAAGCGCTCCCGCACGTGGTTTTTATTTAAGAAGTATGTATGTATGTACATACATATGTACAGAGCAGGGATGTTGCGAATATTTGAATACGCATTCGTTAAGCGAATGATTCGCATCATTTTACACATTCGCATTCGACATTTGCATTCGCATCAAATGATACGAATGTTTTGCGAATGCGAATGTGTACATGGGCAGAGAGTCCACTCTAATATTGTTGAAATGGCTCTAAGTCTGTTGTCTAACCAGGGTGCGGACAATAACCGACGGTTAAGTAGTATATCAAGCAACATTGATGGGCCTTCAATAAGTACTACTAAAAGTCGTATAGGCAACCTAGAAATAATTTTAGATTCCTCCAGCGAAAGCGAAGGCTCGGATGTAGAACCTGGACACATTAAAAATGTGAAATTAAAGCACAATTGAAGGCCTATCTTAAAGAAAACCGAGCTTATCTCGGCGAAAATCCTCTCCATTGGTGAAAAACTAAACTAATATACGACAAATTGACAGAGCTGGCCCGCAAATACTTGAGCGATCCACCCGCCAGCGTTCCAAGTGAGCAATTGTTCAGTGCAGCCGGCCTTATAGACGAGCCTCCAAGAAATCGCCTCATAGGAGAAAAGGCAGCAAATTTAATTTTTGTTTGTACCTTTGAACTTTGACTACTAGATTAGAACACTGTATAGGTTAAGCACTTGTTCGTACAAAATTTTTAATTAATAAAAAGGATGTCTGAAGTTGGTTATATCTTTTTTTAAGGTTATTCCTAACATTCGCATGCCAAAAATTCGCTTTCGCGAATGTGAAAAATATGACATTCGAAACATCCCTAGTACAGAGTTAGCAAAGTCTGTGCGACCATCGACACATACATACATACATATGTATATACATAAGTATGTAACTCATAATCTAAGAAAATTAATTAGGCTTTTTTTTTTAATTGCACATAGTATTAGGCCCCACAAAACTATTTAAAACAAAAAACTTGAAACGAAAGTCTTATGATTCCTAGTTATATAAGACATAAATTTAGTAAATGTATCTACATACAATATACATAAATATCTATTGTAAATACATAACACACATGAATATATGTACATATTTTATTATGCTCCACAATTATTTTTTCACAATTTTTTTGCATTAATAAATCATGATAGAAAAATACATACATATGTACACATTTATTCAAATGTTATGAAAAGGACTCTTTACTTTGAAGTATTGAACTGTTCTTAAATTCATATAATACATTTGTATGGGCATACACATATGCATGAATATACATGCATTTGGACTTAAGGCTCTGTTATGCATACTTGGCATTGCATGCACTGCTATACCATTTTTACGTAGTAATCAAAAACCAACAGACTTCTACGTATGTAGTGCTGTGCGTTCGATAACCGATTACACGCGAAGCACATTTAACAGATTTCTTATGTGACAGCTCTCAAGCCATGCCAAGTATGCATAACGGAGCCTTTACACTCACATGCACAGGTATGTAAGTTGTATAGCTTGTATAGCAACTGCTCATACCGAAAGACCAAAAAAAATGCAGCGAAAATCGGATGGATCGGATCGGACGGAGGGAAATTGCGTTTGATGCCATCGTTTTGGCAATACATATTTAAAATATATTTATATAAATTCGAACTCATAAAAACTATACTCTCTAACATTACGGAAAATCGACGTCATACTCTATCAAAGTTAAATTGTAAATACTACGTAGGGTTCAAACGTACTTGGCAGGAATAAGCAGGAAGTCAAATTTTATAAACCGTGTTTAGATCCCTTTTAACATACACATGTATGTATGTATGCATATGTAGCATCCGCATTGTTAATTTGTAACTTTTTAAACATTGAAATGTTTATTTTCTTTACCTTTCTATTCGCAATTCTTCGCCAAGAATGCCAAAAGTATGACCCATTACCAAGCACTTTCATTCAAGCGAAGTCCAATTTTTGGTGATAACCGATATTAGTCGCGGTTTAATTGATTTGCTAATGTGAAAGACAACAAGCCTTCGTGAAGCTTACAAAATTCATTAGTTACTATTTACATACATATGTATATGTAAATAACTCAAGGTAAAAAGTACATATCACTGGCTTAGAGTTAAAAGTTACGAAGTCCATTTAAACAAATTTTACAAGAAAGAACAATCTTATTGTATCCATTTTTTCAAGCATATCACACGACTTTGAATGCAACATTTTGAGTCTTTAGAGCAAAGCAAAACTTCCTTTCCCGCGCTTTTTTGGAACGGATGGAAATAAAACAAGTACCCTTTGAAAACGATGCATTTTCATTGGTAAATTATGGATAGCAACACAACCTTAGTTGAGGTTGCCAATGGGCAACGCCACTGAAATGAAAACGTATGTATATTATAAATAGCAACTACAGTTAAGTGCTATAAAGTTGAAGATACCAGAATTTTGATGTACCAGCAATCAAGGCTTTAGTGAAAACCAGCTGCAGAAGCAATTGAAAAAAAAAAAAACAGATTTTTATCCGCGACAACCACAAAAATGAAGTTGCCAATATATAAATTTAGCAACTCCAGCCAGCCAGCTTCCAATTAGTTGCTAGTTTTCATCTGTAATACCTTATCAGCACAATAATTTCTCTTGCCTCCTGCTTAGCAACTTTTAACTCTAAGCTAGTGGTGTACATATTTACTTAATTAATTTGCTATACAAATCGCATAACAATTAAGCTTTGTTTTAAAGTTAAATAATTACAAACTAACAATCTGCAATATTAAACTTTTAATCAGATAAATTTTACATTAAGACTTTCTCATTAGCACATCAACAACATACGTACATATGTACCTACATTAATAATTTCAGCGAAAAAAAAAATGCGTCAGCGTTTTCAATTTGCAAAACACCTTTTCTACTAAAGAGCAACTAAAGTCTGACAGCTGAAATTGAGACAATTTTCCAAAAGTACGTACACACACATAAAAACATACATATGTACGAGAAGATAAACGAATTAGAAACTAGGCACTACCACGAAACTGAAGTTGCTGATTGTAAATACTGACTTATGTATAATCTATTTATGTATTTAAAAACGAATCATAAAAAAAAACACAATTACCAAGAAATCTTTAAAATACAAGCTAGTAATAATAAAAAAAAAAAGTAAAACAACTTTAACAACGCACTGCAAGCACTGAGGAATTTGATTCAATTTTAATATTAGCATTTAAATTATAATGAGGGAGAATTGGGAACTCTTCAGTAAAACCCACTGAAAACGAGCAAAAAGTAAATATTCGTTTCATTTCCTTTTTCAAATGCAGTATATACCAATACATACTATAAATAATTTAGACTTTGTAGTTGTATATTTCACGTGCCTCTTCAACCTTTCTAGATTTGACTAACCCGCGCGCGCCTTGGATTCTCTGATGCACTGGCTCCGCATGCGAGAATTTTATATAGCGCGCAAACAATAGGTTTTATTTCATATAAAAAAAATGTGCGTGTATTTAGATTGATATTCAATTTAACTATAAGTTTACAAAGACTTACAACTAATAAACAAACAAAAAAAAAAACAAATAACAAATAAGAAAATACTCATAAATTTAAAATTTTTGGAGCAGATAAAACACACTGTAAATAAATATGTATACTAAATTTGTGCATTTGAAACTAATCTCATTAACAAAATCAAATAAAAAATAGAAAACTTTTTTGAAAAATTAAGAACGCATATTTCATTGTATTGGGTACACAAGTGCAGGTAAGTGCAAAAGGCAATCGCAATTTGTAAGGCATGGCGTCAAATGCTGAAATAACCAAAAGAATGAGAATGAAGATTTTTTTTTTTTTTTTAAAACGGTGTTTAAACAACGATCTTGCCATGATGCTAGATTGTGAAGACACATGTGTCAGGACATCCGACATTTGCAGGCTCGATGCAATTCTGAAAAAGGAATTATTGCACCGCAATAAAAAAATAAATAAATATAACTGAAGGTCCTCTCAACTGGGTGCAGCGTCAATCGAAAAGAATTTACAATTCTGTTAAGTTTAAAGTTTTACAAGTTGGTCGCCTCGAGCGAGTAGTTATTGAGTGGCGCAGGTTTGAAACAGGCTGTAACCAACAGCAGGCAGCAACATCACTTTTATATATACAATGTTCCAATTTTTAAATTCAAGTATTAAAGAAAAAAATATGCTAAAAGTTACTAACTTTTCCATTTTTTATTTACCTAAATCACCTAATTTACTGACCTAAATTATTTCTTAAAAATACTTCGCATCCGCGGATGTCTAAAGTTCCACATTCGCAACATATTGTGAGAAGTTATTGCACAAATTTTATACGATTTTCAAAGTAGTTCATTTATAAAAACACCAAAAAATCAATCAAGTGTATACATATTATCTGCCTCGCTCGATTACCACGCTCGTATAAAGCTTTCTGTCTTTATTGTAGATATGTATACCGAACAAGATACTGATTTACCGCCTCATCTGAATTCGTATTCTGTCTGATACCACCAGAGCTGGGTGGTAATGATTCCTTTAGGAATTAAATCACTCTCAATTACAGGGAATTGTAAGTAGTAATTAATTCCTTCGATTTATTGCATTTTCAATTCCTATTCAGCAAAAAGTAAATTTTCAATTCCTTTCATGGGAATTGGAAAAAAATTACATTACTGATTACGTAATTAATTAAAATATGCAATAAAAAAAATATATATATTACATTTGAAATTCTAAGAAATTGACAAAGTTGTTGTTGTTGTTGTTGTTGTAACAGCATACAAATTCCCCAAAGAGATTTTGGGGAGTGTTGCTGGAGTGCCAGTCCTTGGCCTTCCGACAGTCGCGCGAACGTGAAAGTTGTCAATTCCTTTGCTATGGACTGAAGGAATTAATTCCAAACACAATTAATGAGGATTGTGATTGTAATTGTAATATAATTGCATTTACCCAGCTCTCTGGATGCCACAAGGTCGATAACTTTTGACTCGTCGCCAAAGATGGTCTAGTCCCGCGTTCAAACCCTGTACCGACATCATGACTATGTGCATATGTCGTAAAAAATCTGTACGGAAACTCAGCTTTTCCGGATTCAAGAATAGCATTTTCATAGATTTTACGATAATCTAACCTACGATGGTTTCCGTAATGAAACTAAATGCAAAATTATTACAAAACAAATAAATTTCAAGTAATTTCAAAATATACCGTTTTATTCAAACTTTTGGCGCTTACAATTCATGAGAACTTTATAAAGCTTAAATTTTCATAATTATGACATTCAAACATAATTAGAAGCTGCATTTCAATGCATTTGGGTATCATAAAACATAATCATAGCAGTCAAGTAAAAAAATGTTATAAAAAGTTTACATGATAAATAAATGTTGCACGCGCTTTAACAAACAAAATTAACTTCACTTTTAAGACAAACAAATACAATATAATAATTGGAAGTTGAAAAGGCATTTATCGAAAAAAAAAACGCTGTTAGTATACCTATTTGTAAATAGATTTTTGATACGAATGGCCTGTAATCCAAATCGGTGGCGCATTTATTAATTGAGCCGGATGATAAAATTTACGATTTTCTAGTTGATCCACATCTATGTAACGCAAAATGTACCCATCATAATTCCGTATACGTTGCGATTTTAGTTGTAAGCAACGTCGTTTCTCGCCGCTACTACACTTTCGCGGGCCTATATCATCGGAAAGGCATGAAAAATAATCTTTTTCAACTTTAATTTCACATACAACGAGCGTAATTTCGGTATCATTGAAACCAAGGTTAAGTGGCTGATTGTTACGAAACTTTGGGAAAATGCTGTAAAACTGTGCCACGTAATCGTGTTGTCTTAGCGATATACAGTTTCGTAAGACAAGGAAACTTCTTTTATAAAGGTTCAAAATAAATTCTGTTGAGTACTGAGACAACAACTGCAATGCTTTGGTTAACTCTACAACCGAAATTGAACTTACAAAGTAATTCTCAGAGTGACGCAATTCAGCCAAAATATCCAAGTTGTTGCAGCAACTATACACTGAAAAAAAAAACATATATTGTTTTTGCTAGAGTATTTTTTTTTTATGGTATTGTTATCCCTACAAATTTCGGCTCGAAATCCGTTCAGCAAGCGAACAATATAGTGGTTTTTAGGAAAGCCAAAATTTTCTTCAATCAATAGCGTTGCAATTTCGCACATTGCAATGTGCACATCTTGAATCTCGTGATCTACTGCCAACTCCATTACCATGCAACTGAGCTCCCCGCTTGTTGAGTCTTTCAAAAGGACCTAAACGAATTAAATGAAACATTGGTTCAAAGAATATCGTAATCTTCTATGTATATATGTGTGCATTCAACTTTAAAATAAACTTTAAATTTAGAGCAGACATAAATTTTAGTCAATCACAGAAATGATAGAGCTTAGCACTACAGGCAAATATGAATACACTCTGATCTAATGTTGCAGTCGTCTGATGCAATACACAAATCCGACTTGTGAAGGTACCCTTTACAACACCAACTACCTTTTCACCTGCCAACTTAAGCCCACTCAGCCAACACACTTTTCCCTTTGGTCCGACCCCGTACGACAGTACGTTGGTCGAAACTACCGTTAGTTGTGCCTGACGACGATTTATGGATTTGTCGATTTTGGTGGGCTTTGTAGTGCCTCTACAACATAGCTGGGCAGCGCCTACCCGGCGGGCGACTGCGCGGCGTATTCGCGTATACATACACGATCTACTTGGGAAGACAGCGAAGCCTTCATTCAACTGCACTACTTGTTCGCACGCACACAGTGACATCAATTGCACGCACACTACAAAAATGCTCTGCCGAAGCTGCCCACCTCTGGTCTACAACAACAACTACAATTCACCAAGGTCTCCCTCTGAGAGCTGAGTAAATAAAGTAGGTATTAATTATTTGTATAATCAGAGATTCTACAGTGAAAAAATTTTCCGGAAATTTAATTCTACGGGAATTGGACCATATTCGGTCTCAAAGGGAGAACCGTCAAAAAAAAAACTTGTTAAATGTTACTAGTTTTATGAAACTTTAATTTTATACATAACTTATTTTTTAACAAATTTTTTGTTGTTTTTTAACAAATTTTGTGGGATAAAAATCTCGAGAAAGTATCTTACAAATGTGTGATGTTACTACAAGGATGCTGTTTCAAGGCTAATACATCTAGAATCATTTAAAAACGTTTCAAAATCTGTTAGCTTTTGTGGAAAAAATTAGCAAAATTATTTTTGTCCCGTATTCGGCTCCCATAAATATGGTCACCGTAGCCGCCATAGTACTCCAACAAATTGAATGATTTAAACAGCATTTTGATGAAAGACTTCACTGCTTTATGTAAAAATAGTGACTAAATATATAGATATTGAGTAAAAGTCTGCATTGCGTTCAGCAAATGAAAGGCATTTAAATGTACTGTTAACCGGAATTAATAATTTTGAAGAAGGTTTCCAACTATAACTAAAATATTAATCTACATATGTATACATGCATCTTTATATGTAAATTTTTTTCAAAGTTATTTTCCTGTTACCAAACGATATCGCCTTTATAATTTTTCATTTAGGAGAGAAGTTCACGTAATATACAAAACTTCTCCGTGACTCGGACGTCACTATTTGGGATGAGATTTCGATGGTTCCCAAAGAAGCACTAAGCGTAGTACTAGATCGACTTTTGGGAGACATAATGAATAATAGTTTCCCCTTTTGTAGGCAAAATCGTTGTTTGATAGAGACTTCCATCAAGTGTTATCTGTCGTTAAATCTTGTTGTCAATGAATTAAACGAGGTTCCAGGAATAAGAAGTACTATTTCTACCCTAAAAGATGTGATACACTTTCTTCGCAAGTCAATGACACGCAAGAATTATGCTGCTGATATATCACGTTTGTGTGGAACAAGATGGTCGGAAAAATATAAGGCTATCAGGAAATTTTCCTGAAGTTGTGGAAGCTTTAGAAAAGTTGTCGATTCAGGTAAACTTTTCCACAAGAAGGTCTGCGTATCAATTTTGTGCTGCTATAACAAGGCCGATTGCTTAAGTGACAATAGCTAAATATTCAATGTTTCTGGATACTACAGCAAACATTTTGCAAATGACAATAGACCTCGTCGCGTTGAAAAGCATATTGAAAATATTTTGGAGGTGGTTAAGAGTCATCGAAAGAATGCAGAAGGAGTCACTATGGAGTTAATTAAAAAATCTCGTATGATTACAGCCGATCTAGGAGTAGAAATTTCTCTACTACGTTTTGCAGGTAAACAAAAAACTGAAGTAACTCCCATCTTTCAATGAAAATGAGTACTGGCGACGATCTATAATAATACCGTATCTGGATTCACTAACGGCCTCTTTACAACTACGCTTTTCCAATGAAAATACTCCAGCTTTTTCGCTATGTAGATTGCACCCATTGTATTCGATTACCTGTTCCAGTGAAAAGGTACAAAATAACTCGAAGCATTTTCAACAATCAATGATCTACATAGGTATGGGAAGTGAACTTATTCTTTGGTACAATTTATGGAAGAAAAAGAACTTGTCCGAAGAAGATTTGAAGGGTGTTGAAGTTGTAGACCTATTTAAAGAAGAAAACTAATATATAACAGCGATAAATATGGGTATTTCCATTTTGAGCAATTTTCCATGCACAACAGCGACTCTGAAGCGATCGTTTAGTACACTTCGTAGAGTAAAAACCTGGCTCAGAAGCACAACAGGAGAAGAAAGGCTTTCTGGACTATTGGACTATGCCTCATGAGCGTCCATACAAAACTCGTTACCGAAAACCGCGAGATGATTCAGGAGGAAATAATCGAAAAGTTTGCTGGAAATTGTTATTAGCTTAAAAATGATTAAATAAAAAATATGTAAAAAAATAACAAGTATATATGCAACAAATGAAGCGATTAAAATTGAAAAAAAAATTTTCAAAGTAAAATACATTTACTACTAACAATAAACATAAAGTGCTCATATTTACTTAATTTTAAATATTATATATGTAATTTTGCTCTACGCGACAAATTTGGTATGTAACAGTAAATTTGCACATTAGGAGACTGGTTATGCATAAATTTAAAAAAAAATTTTTTAGAGCAAATTTTAAACATTTTATGTGTAAACTGTGAAATTGTGAACATTGCGTGTTTCGAATTGAACAAAAAAATTTGAAAATTGTTCTACGCCACACATACTAATATGTAATCGGAACAAACAAGCAGTGGTTAATTTAATTAACACGGAATGTAAGCTTGCATTCATTAAGAGCGGAAACTGGTTACCTATCTTAATATGCGCAAATTTAAACAAAACTTTATTGTAGTTTTCAAAAATTTCAGATAAAATTACACATCTAAAGTGACTGATGCAAACTGCTGAGCAAATTCCCCGAGTTAATTTATTTCAACTTTATTCTAAAGTATTGGATTCGAATAATTCGCTCGGGTAAGCTAGTAATAACTTGTTTATTATTGAAACAAATGCGATATAAACTTAAACATACAAATAGGTGACCATATGGCATAGTAGCTTAAGACGGAAGCCGGGCTTTAGTATAATGTTCCATTGATAGCTTACGAATGCGAATGATACACTTTACGCCGAGCCATTGAAGAACTCTTGGCAAATCACGTAAAATCTAACCAAAAATCCCTTGTGGTTTAAAGAATAAACGGATTATATTCAAGCCAGCCTCCCCACTTAAGCTATTATGCCAAGCGAAAGCAAGCAGAAATTAATTATGTACGTATTTCATATTTTATTTTGTACTTACGCCCCCATACTGAATGCCTCTTTCACGAAAGCAGCGACCATAAACCACCACCGGAATGCACCAATTATTAGCCAAGCAGTACAGGCGCAATTTGGCATTGTAGTCATTCGGTAAACTATTAAATAATAAAAGTAAAAAAGAGCAAATTTAATTGCTCTTACTAAAATTTATGAACGAAAAACTTACCTCGCTCGGTGCCCCAAGGAACGCGGTTTCTAAAGTTTGCACCGAATCAAGACATGAAATAGTGACATATTATTTTGTTTACGCTACTAATACGTACCGTAATTTCATTAGAGCTGCTATTAAACTGAAGTGACTTGGGCTTCGCCCACTGTACCTTCAAATCATTACCCCACATGCGCATGCGTCCTGGCGTTGTACGTTTTTTCGCCTGTAACGCTGTTTCATGATCGTAAAATTCGATAAAAGCAAATCCACGATTCAGATCGCCCCTTATTGAATCTGTGGCGGATGACGCATGTGCCGTGCAGCGTTCCATGTCGTGAAAAGCGTTCTTGAAGCCAGCTTCCAAGGATGACAATGGCAGCTGCTTAGGAATGTTACTCACATAAAGACGATTTTTACCTTGTGAGCGGTAGACGCTCAGTCGTTCACCGTCAACGAATACAAATTTCAATAATTCGTATGCGGCCAGGGCTTCAATCTCCTGGGTATAGCGTACAAATGCATAGCCACGCGACAAACTAAACGACTCCATCATCAATCGCATTTCATATACTTCCCCGCAACGATACAGCCAGGCTAGAAAGTGCACTTCATCTAGTGACTTGGGCAAATTCGCAACATACAGCTCACATATGTAGGAAGGACGTAGACCAGCATAATCTAATGGCGGCCCAAATACTTTGCGTCCATTCTCCAAAATAGCTGGAAGAGCGGACGCCTTTTCAAGAAGTTCTTCTGCAGTGATAACATTCTGCATGGGCGAGCACGATGCCAAGGACGTAGATGGAGACCAGGAAGATCCTGGCGACCAGCAAGCAGACGAAGTTCCAGACTTTGATAATGGCGAAGAGTCCGACATTTCCATTCGCAAGTATTTCGAAATCAAAATTATGTCACCAAAACCAGCAAAAGCACAAACAATCGATTTTTAATTTGACCCATTAACTACATTTCAACGGAAATTCGGGATTCCTGATAAAATGACGCACTTTGATTTTCCTGTGTCGATCGCAAAACAGAGTTGTCAAAGCGCTACGATGAATACTCCAAATAATCGTAACGAGATACGTAAGCCTGGCATAAGTTGATTGAATTCGAATAAACCGTTGGTGGTGGTGGTGCTGTTAGATCAGCTGGTTTCTTCGCCTTACATGTATTTTGTTTTTGCTTTTAATTATTTGACAACACACCCATCAAAAGCAAAAAGAATACATGCAACTTTGGGGCGAATTGAGATTTGACATAACACCCGCAATACAAAATACATAAGATTGTTGTATTTGCTATACCGCTGCCACCTTCAACAAATTCGCCTTGACCACCTTGTAAAAATTCGCCTTGAGTTGAATTTTTATCAATATACTTTGTGTCATACATAAGTATTAGTTAAAAAGCATTAAATAATTTAATATTGAAATTGCTCACATCATTACTTGAAAGAACACTAACAAATTATACTCACGATGACAATCAGAACACACAAAAAATACAACAAAACCAAATTTTTGACGAGGAGCACAATTTGCCTTGAAATCAACTGCTCCGATAAACCCACCCTTTATGAAGACGCCTTGGCTCACGTCGTTACGTTACGCAAACAACTCTGCATTTGATTCATCGACTTCTGGCTGGCAATGCTGTACGTTAACGGGAAATTTTTAGGTAAATTCAAATTACGCACTGACTAGGCAGCATTGTATCAACGGAAAAGCCGTCAGCTAGAATTCAGTTTCGGCTAAATATTTACGCTTTGTTTGCGAAAAGGTTAAGAAAAGTGCAACAGCAATTCCAAACATTAGATTATATAATGGAGTACACCTCAGGCAACAGTGTTAACCAGAACATGTGTGCCACAATGTGCACTCCTCTACATTTCGCTTACCCTTTGTCATCGCCGATTTCTTCGGATGGTGCAAGCGGAAGCAATTTTACACCATCTCCACCACAGTCTTCGGTATCTAGTCCACAGCTACAGCGCTCCGGCAACTGCCAGCAAATGCAGCAATTTACACTCATGCAGATGAATGGCCGTAAAGTGCTTGGCCCTCCAGAGGGTTGGCACGGCCCACCGCCCTCAAGTGCATGTGAACTGTTTGTGCGTCGTATTCCCCGAGATCTAAATGAACAAAAGTTAATCCAGCCATTTTTACGATTCGGACGCATATATGAAATACGCTTGCCAATGGATTTCAATCAGGTAAATATTACAAATACGGATAAAGTGTATATGGAATAAAATCACTAAACACTTTGTAGGCAAATCGAGGTTACGCATACGTCAAGTATACCACTGAGGAAGAAGCAGCTTGCGCAATGGAAGTGCTGAGCCATTTTTATATAGCTCCTAAACGCAAGCTGGAAATTCTACATTCATATGAAAAATGTTGCTTGTTCGTTAGCAACATACCAAAACATTTAGATGAAAGCGAGGTTGAGGAAAAGTTGCGTGCAGTTTTTCCCACTATGGAACGTGTATATTCTCGGGGGCCCGGTTTATCTCAAAGGAGTTCTGGCCAATGTCGCGAGAATGATGGGTATGACAACGGCAACTTTGAAGGATTCAATGGATCGCACCAAGTTATGCATGCAGCATCCAACGACCAAAGGAACCGTGGTCATGTCTTCATACACTTTCCTTCTCACTTGGATGCATTAGAAGCAAAGAAGAGTACAACGCCGGGAGTGATACGGATGTGGGATCGTGATTTAAAAGTTGTTTGGGCCAACACAGAACGTGACACTGACATGTCAAAATGCGTAAAGCTACAAAGTTTTACAAATTTATTTGCTATAAACTATATTGATTTTTATTTTTTTTTTTCAGAATAAAACACTATTCGTTCGCAATGTGGATCTTTGCGTAAACAATCGTGATATCATCGACTTGCTTGTAAACTGCGTACCGCGGCAGGAGATACGTAAAATTACAAAAGTTAGAACAATAGCATTCTTTGATTTTACTACTCGCGAGGCGGCCGAGAAATGTTTGGATCAGTTGCAAGGAACCATGTTGCGTGGCCAACGGCTTGGCCTTGAATGGGCTAAGCCATCGGAGAAGTAAGTGAATAATAGATAAAAAGATATCTATGTATTAGTTTTTAATATTAAAAATGTGTCTCTCAAAGGCAATCATTGCATCGCATGTGCAGGACGGACTTCGATGCAATGCTTCGTCTTAAATGCATTGCGAACTCCTGGCAAATTCCAGTAATAATCTTCGGTACGTACTACGAGCACGAGGGGTTGCAGTATGGCGCGGTGATGCTGCGCAATGCCAATAGCACGGCGCGAGCTATTTTCTGTGCATTGCAGACTCATGAACTAGTCGACATCCACTCGCGTATTTGTGAAGTAGTATGTGTTCTTTTGGAGACCATAGGTACTTTTCCTGACTATAACTACGTGTTCTTCGTTGAGAAAGACAACGCACATCTTCGTAAGTAGCATATGCCCTTCTGCTCTCAACAATAATTATATTGATTTGAAATTCCAGTCGGAATGGTTACACATGATGCACAATCCGTGGGTTTCATCGCCTCTTTTCAGGTGCCAAAATATCTATGTTTCGATTTAAATGAGCTGATCGATCTGAGCTGGGCCGTGGCAACTTTGGCCGCTGTTAATGAGGATGATCTACTTCAAGCTTATAACGAAAGTTTTCTAGTGAATACTACGGCCACGTATTTACAAAATTTAGTTGTTTCCGGCCACCGGGTTTTCGGCACAGTTATGCCAAAGTATCGCAATAAGGCGCCACTAAATCACAATCTAAATGATACCCAAATAGTACTTGCTTTGTGCTACGTTACAACCGGTACCAATTCCGCATTACAAACCCGTCCGTACCTCGCTTATCCCGCATCCATGTTTGATAGCGGTTATGAAGGGTTGCGTTTCGTTTCGCTAAAATTGTTACCCATTGCCGTCACCCAATCACGCTTTTTGGTACATCACGTGCTCAACCATGTTCAGTTTGGCAATGTACAATATTTTCATCCGGAACAACGTTTCCAATATCCACCTTTATGGATCACTGGCTGCTCTTATACCAAATCACTGAAGCATCCCAAACAAGAGCGAATAACGCATGCTCAGCAACATATCACACAAAGTCAGCAACAGCACAGCTTAATGACAAATGGCACATATATGCCTGCAACTTATGTAAGCTCGAGCATTAAAACCTCGATCCACGGAGGATCGCTGGGCGTAAATTAGCTGTTTTTAGTTTTAATCTTATTTTTTTAATGTTTAATGTTTATTATTATTTAGCACCCCTCTTTTTTCATTATTGGATTTCGTATGCATTTGTTTTAAGTTGTATTCAATGTATTTAGTTATTTACCTAAGCGATTCTGGTGTTTTTGAATCTGTTGGTTTTCTGATTTTTTGATCGTATCTGTTTGGTTTATCATTGATTGACTCTTTTAAGATTTCTTGAATGAAAAGTTTTTATGTGTTAAGCAGCGTTTAAATTTAAAATTTAATTACTTTATTAATACTTTAAATTTAAGGTTCCGTTTGATTTTTCGGTTAGATCATTCTGTGCTTTGTCCAGAAATTTTTTTGTAATGAATTTTAATAAATTTATTTTTTTTTTTATTTGGAAAGAAGCAACCATTGGAATTTTAATTTTTATTAATAACCGACTTCTCAAAAAAAAGAGGAAGTTATTAATTCGTCGGAATATTTTTTTACGTATGTTACCGCATACCTTTAGACGACGTTAACCGATTTCGATAATTATTTTTTTACCTCAACTAATTTGATTTCGGTCCGATCATTAGATAGATAGATCACTTGTTAAACTACTATGTTAAATAAAGGCTGGCGGAGCTGAACTCGATTTTTCACAATATTTCACAGGGTTTATCTCGAGCAGTTGAAAATTCTCAGCAACTCGTATTACGATTTACATATTGGAAAGACAATTAGAAAACGTTTTTCACTTAATCATATCATTTTCATTAGCGTCTGAAAAAACTGACTGGCTGTATATCCAGTAGCAGAGAATGTAAAAGTAAATTTGCGGATTTCTAGCGGGTTGTGGAATGGCCGCAGAGTACCGCTTTCACGTTGTCCATAGTTCGCTGAGCTAACAGGCTTGCCGGCTATAGATCGTAGCTGGGCACTTTATGATAAGGGTTATATTTTGATTATTTAAGATTACAATTACAGTAATAGTATTCATGAAAATAAGGATTGCGATTACAGTAGACGAATCGTTAACTTTTAGGATTACAATTAAAGTATTCGCAATCATGCATTTCGTGATAACGATTACAGTAATCGAAAAATTAGTTTTGCTTAGAGCAAATATTAATTTTTATATACCAAAATGGTTTTAAGTTATTGATTCGCGACTTCGTTTGGAGTTGTAATATTCTACACAGACTCGTGGTCGCAGTACTTTCAATAAAGTTTGATTTTGATTTATATTAATACTTCGACTTTAACTCAATTTTTAGTTATAATTCGTAATCATAAAGTGCCCAGCATTGCTATGGAATATGTTGAGTTGAGGAAGAAGAGTGTTCATTTGAAAACGGGGTGTTGCAAAGCATGGCTAGCCATTGATACACAAAATATTTGAATATTTCAAATCCCGGGTAGAGTTTTAAAAAATCAATACAAATTATAAAATCTTTAATTTTAAATTTTCAAGGTCAATGTTCATAACATTCAAATGTTGATATCTAATTTCTCTTATTCTCCATTAAAAATGCTACTAATTTGTTTCCTTTTCCTCTCTTCTAAATTAAAGGTAATGTTAGATAATATTGCAAAAATTACCGGTCTAAGTTTTTTAATCGAAAATCGGAAGTCAGGGTTTTTATTTCCAACTTTCCATTTTTCGGCCCAGCTTTAAAAAAAAAAAGTAGAATAATCGGTCGCCCCAGCAAATACTGAATATATACATATCGCGCATTTCCTTCAATAGTGTCATAATCGACAAATTACAAATATTGAGTTAAGTACGCAAAATTACCGGTCCTTATTCTATGTTGAGAAAAAATTTCGACTACCAGCAGCCCATTAGAACAAAAGATGCATTAATTTTTACTATGGGAG